GGTCGAAACTCGACCAAAAATATGTAATGTACTCACTTCTCTATTTTCACCCCACACTGTAAATAAAACATGTGATTGGAGTTTCTTCCATTTTGTTTTGATTTTCTGTTTATATTTCGTTGTTATTTCGTCACCAGCATGGCAACGCATAAGATCCATGTTAATTTTTTCAAATTTGTAAACTCATTTTTTGTGCTTATCTTTGAGCCTATTTAAATTTATAAAGGGATTCTGCACACCTACAGGAAAATAGCTTTCTAACGGTATGCGTAGATTTACCCCACGATGCACACAAGCTGAGAAAAAAGGTTTTAAAGAAACATGCTTGCCTATTAATATATAGATAGATGGTCAAATACGTTGTTTTAATGGCTTTGTTATTATACAGACATAGTTTTCACTAAAAAATTGCACCCAGCAAAGCCACAAACAACTTGTGTAAAAAGAAACAGGGTCCGGCACGTACGACGGCCACCTTTAACTACAGGCCGCGGCCTGGTAGAATTGGCAACGTCGCAAGTGGTGTTGTTTAGTGACAGAACGTCCCATAAGATAACATGGCAGCTCATTAATTGGCGATTTATAGATTTAAATTTAAGAACATACAGTTATTAAAATATTGAAAATAAAACATACAGAATTGAAAACGGAAACAATATGAATAAAAAATCTATATTTGTACATTTTAAGCAGAGTCAATATTGTCATAGTCCAGTAATAAACATTTCGTAAAAACAAAAATACCATTAGCTGCTTCCAAACAAAACCAGCTGTTACTGTTAATCCTAACAAATTTTGTTTTCAAGAGGAGTCACAAGCAGCGAATTTCGGCTTAGTTATATAAATTGGAAATACTTACATTTTGATTACTGCACATAGGCCTAATAACTAAGCTAAACTAGTTTGTATACAATAACTATGCTATAAGAATGGAATGGTTATTTATTCACGTCACTTTTTTCAACATAATTTAATATGGACGTGAAAAGAAGTTAATGTATTTCATTTTTGTTCATTCAAACATAATATGCATTATTATTCATTCGGTATCAAATTATGAACAGCTATTACTGGCAAAGGTGGACAAATACCTGTTGTAAAATTTAGTTGTAGGTATCTGGTACAAAGTATTTCACGGTTTGTCAAAGTTTTAACCTTTGTGAATTTAAGCTAACCCATGAACAGTTAGTAGCCTACTTGGGAAGGTTACAAAAATATAAATGAATAATTTACAAAGAAGTCTGTTAGGCCTCTCGCACTCGGAATGGCCTTAATTTGCAGTTTCTTAGAATATCCTTTCACAACAAGCAATTCATTAGGTGTCCGGTAACTTTTGGTTCAGTTCACTTTCGTGTGATTCCCCTCTAATATCCAACATAATTATTGTTTTGATTTTACCTGGTAATCATAATAGACAAGCTCCTGGGTGAAATGGGGGGGGTACAATTCCAGGGGGTACAATTCCGGGCCGTACATCTTCTTCTGCGGTCACCAGGGGGTACAATTCTGGTCCTATAAGAAGAGCTAGACTGCCGGGGGGTACAATTCCAGGGGGGTACAATTTCACCCCGTACACTGGCCATATAAAAGTGAGTTCTAACTGAGGGGGTAAAATTCCAGGGGGGTACAATTCCGGTCCGTACAGTTTTTTAGATGCCAGTGGATTTAACCAAACCACTCACGCATAACAATATCAAATTTTTATGAGGGGGGTACAATTCCAGCCCGTACACGCCATTTTGGTCGAGAAAATGAGACGTCATCGTGACGTCACTAACCTGCAGGGGGTACAATTCCAGGGGGGTACAATTCCGCCACCCCTGTTACGTTGCTGACATTTCTAAACTGACGTAAGCTACGCTAGTCAAATGAGAAATGAACAACCACGACCACAAAAGTCGTTAATTTACTTAATAACATTAAATCGAAAACATAAACGTGAATTGTTGAAATATACCTTAGAAAGAACTACACAACAAAATAAATCTGTGGTACAAGAATCAGATTTTTTTATGTTTTGGTAAAAAAGCCTTTCCGTAACAAAAATTAGCATACAAAATTTTTTAGTAGAGTATATGAGGACTCAACTTCGTTTCGTCCAATAAGTTAACTCCATAAGAAATAATTTTAAAAGTTACTGTGATATTAGAATTTTCCACTGATTTGGTAATAGAACATTATATTGCAAAACATGACACGGTGCAGAAGAAAATAAAAAAAAACCATTGCAAATACTGTACTTCATTTTGACAAATTCAATAAATCACAATTTAAATATTAACAGCTGTTGCATTAAAAAGTAGCCTGGTGTAGAACTATGGATATGGTCGTAATGTAAACAAATCTGAAGAGGCAACTTTAAAGGCCTCTGGGGCAGAGCCCCAAGGGATTTTACCTCTTTCCTCTTTTGATGGCTCATCTTCAGACCAAGACCTTTCTTTAGAGACCCCTACCAAGTTTCTACGCCCAGCCGTTCTCTCAAATTAGCTGTGACAAAAACCCCGTTTTCCTCCAGAAGAATAACATGGGATGGGAATTTAAAGGCCACGGGGGCAGAGCCCCAAGGGAATTCACCATGCTTCTCTTTTGATGGCTCATCTACAGACCAAGAACTTTCTTTTGACACCTCTACTGAGTTTCTACGCCCAGCCGTTCTCTCAAAATAGCTGTGACAAAGAAAAACAGTTTCAAATTAATATATAGACTAGTGTACCTTTTGCTCGAAATCGAGTAATTGCAAAGCATTACAGGCGACTCAAAGATTATGGAAATACTCACGACCTACACAACAGTTAGATTTAATCAAAATATTTTGTAAATATCTTTTCTTTTTTCAAAAAGTCGATCTTGTTTTTTTAGCGTTTTTAGTGTAAAAAAATATTATTTCTATTTCTTCTACTTGGTTGTGTTCTATGACTTTTTCTATGTTTCCATTGTTTGAAAATCGGTTATTTCAATGATTGCTCAAGAAATGTAGCACAGTGTTAATTCAGTTTTATTTTTAGCCTATATCAAATTGTCCAGGATTTCCATTTTAATAATTACACCAACCCAAGATTCGTCTACAGATGCAATATGCCAAAGAATATCTCCTACGTACAATCTTGTAGAAGTGGTAAAAAAAAGGCAGAAACCAAGCCATACAAAAGATACAAGTTAACTTCATAAGAAATAATTTTAAGAGTTACTGTGATATTGGGATTTTCCACTGATTTGGTAATAGAACATTATATTGCAAAACATGACACGATGCAGAATAAAATCGATTTTAAAATCAGAAAAACCCATTGCAAATTCTGTACTTCATTTTGAAAAAAATCAATAAATCACAATTTAAATATTTACAGCTGTTTCATTAAAAAGTAGTGTAGAATTATGCATATGGTAAACAAATTTGAAGAGGCAATTTTAAAGGCTTCTGGGGCAGAGCCCCAAGGAAATTTACCTCGTTCTTCTTTTGATGGTTCATCTATAGACCAAGACCTTTCTTTAGAGACGCCTACCAAGTTTCTACGCCCAGCCGTTCTCTCAAATTAGCTGGGACAAAACCCCAGTTTTTTCACCATAAGAATAACATGGGATGGGAATTCAAAGGCCACTGGGGCAGAGCCCCAAGGGAATTTACCACGTTTCTCTTTTGATGGCTCATCTACAGACCAAGACCTTTCTTTAGACACCTCTTCCGAGTGCCTACACCCAGCCGTTCTCTCAATTTAGCTATGACAAAGAAAAACTGTTTTAAATTAATATATAGACTAGTGGAACCCCGTCGAAATCGACGGTTAATCTTGAGGTTTTATGTAAATTCAGCTAACTGCGATAGATAGAGTGAAGTCATTAAAATCTTAGTTAAATGAAGGGAGGTATTAGGGAGGATAAGCATTATAATAAGTATGACGATTGTGTTCCCTAAAAACGTGATTGTTGAATTCATTTAACACAATATTTCCTACCTTTTTATCGGCTTTAAATCTCGCTTTAAGTGGAGAGCACAAGTTCACATGTACAGAAACCTTATACTGACGTCATAAATATCGAATGTATATATCGATTGTACCGGGTGGTTACGGGTTTTTCTTCGGAATGTAAGTATCGGTTGCACCGAATAAGTAAAGGGGTTTTTTGTAACACTTTATTTGACGAATTGAATACTCTCGGTAGTTTATCCATTATAAATCAAATAGTAGAAATACAATAATATTCGTTACAGGCTGGGAATAAAATAATTACTGATACTTTGGATTGAACATCCAAGATGTTTGCAATTGTTTTCGTATTTACCTGACTTATAAAATAAAAACTTGAGTTCACAGGACGTTGAATACTAAGAATTTATTTCATAGCATCCACAATAATACAATAACTGTAATTAAAGTAGACGAATTACAGGAATTATTATCGATTCTAGAAGAGAGTGAAATAATAATTGTAACTTTTTGACATGTTAACGTTATGTTAATGTTTGGGAATGATTTACTATTTACTAACAGATATTGCCCATCAGTGTAAGGTGACAATTTAAGAAGCCCAAGAGGACTGTTTTAGATGTATTATTTTATGGAATTTACAGTCACGTAAAATAGGCCCTACAGTTTAACCATTGACTAAGTAAGTATTATTGTGAGTACATTCCCTTCGGCCTTCGATAATCGATTGCATAAACCATAACCATCACGATTCCGATAGCTGAAAAGCAGTTGATAGTCATGTGACGTCATTATAAGGTTTCTGTACATGTGAAGAAGTGGCCTCCGTAAGGGCATAGACTAACCAACACAAGAGTATGTTTTATCTATGGTAATGTACTTTTGTACAATACAACCTGAAATATGCCAAACATTATATACATGTAAAAACATCATTTCTCACCGTATTGTCATTGAATTGCGTTTCCGATTTCCGACATCCCAGCAAAACACGATTGTGGCGTCCGCAGGCGTACCAACCGGTATCAATCTATTACAATTTGAATGTACTAATGTACTTTGTGTAGAGTGAGACTGAGAGTGTAGACAGACAGATTTATTCTTGTGTTGTTTTTACTTCGTATGAACGAAACTGTTTTATTTTGAGCACATTTATGTGTTTATTAAGAGTTTAAATATTAACTTGATTGTACAGTAGTAGTGTGGGTTGATATGACATGTTATTAGTTAAGAGTGCCACGAAAATGTGTTTTAATTCCTAGACAGCATAGGCCTAGCTTTAAGTTGTGCCGAGATGGATGCCATGATTGGGCTTGATGTTATGCCTGTTGCTTCAACTGAAGACCCTGGTCCTATTGCTCTTAACCCTGGAATCGAAAACACTTTAAAACCAGATCCACATCAAGAATCAGATGATAATTTAATGCAAAATGTAGATGTCATAGATCTTACCATTGCTCAGGGTACCTCCCATAGGCCTATAGCCTCAACAGAACCTAGCCTTGTGAGAGAAACAATGTCTATCAATCATATTCCAATCACCAACTTTCCAATAGTTGTATCAGATGATGACAAAAATGATTCCACTAAGTTTAATGATGACCAAAGGTTACCGCCAAAGCACAAACTGCCTATAACTGCAATTAGCCCTCCGCAACACCAACCACCTAAAGTACCTAGAATTGATTTCAATTCGAGTTTTGCTGTTCAAAACTCAAATCCCTACTATCCCTGTAAGCCTTACCCTATTTCAAACCATCAAAGCAATAACCTAAACATTCCTCCGACAGTAGTTACGAGAAACCACACAGTTACAAGTAGAGAAGAGTTGCAATTAGACTTGGATTCTCCAATCTGCACAGCCTCTGCCAATAATACACATCATCCTATATGGCCGTTCCCAAACGAGAAGCATCGTCACCCAAGTTACAGCCTAGGCCTACCAGCTGTAAAATCAGTTAGTGAAGGAAACTTTTTTCTTAATGAAGTGCCTCTTCAAACTGTGAACTCAAACACAGTTAGGCCTATTTTGGAAGAAAGACATGCCAAAATTAATCCTATGCCAAGAAATCCAGTGACAGGATGCTGTGATCTAGGCCAAACCTTAGAAAATGAAAAGAGAAAATCAATGTTTTACAAACTACTAGACATGTTTCCTGACATTGAATTAACATTCCTTGAGAACAAATGTCGCTTAAGCTGGGATATAAATGTTGTTTCCGATATCATATTAGAAATGGGAGATTACCCTAAGGAAAAGTATTGCCATAGACCTTCGACATCTAATAACTCAGCTTGTACAAATTTAAAAGTTTCTGTTCCTACTTCAGACAATGTATCAGGTTTCAACAGTTTACCAGTGGGAGACGGGGTGCATACAACTTCAGTTAAACAGCCTAAGACTACATCATGTAACTTGAACCAAGATCCAACTTTAAGTAGGCCTATGATTAGCCCAACATCAAGTACCTGCCATAAACCAAATGGAACATTACCAAAAGATAAACCCAAATTAACTAAAATAGAAGAGCCAACAAATAATTTGAATAAGCTTAATATGTATACTAATACGAATGATATGAGTCAGTTTAACTTTTTGATGGAGATATTCCCAGATGCTGACCCTATTTTTATGGAATCTGTGAGTAAATTTAATGAAACTGAATTGAGAACCTACATTGCTGAAAATATGGAAAAACCTAATTATCCAAAATTTAAACAATCTGAGAAACTGAATAATCCTATTATCGATGATTCTGCAGAAATAGGATTGTACACATCAAACTTTAACCTTGGACATTTTCTTAAAATATTCCCAGACCCTTTTCAATATTTTTTGGATCAGAAACGTAAATGTAAATACTCGGCACATGGTTTTGAATTTATGAAAAGAAGGTGAGTTTAAGTTATTGTATGCCTATCTAAAAATTTTTGGCTGCACTTTAGTTTACCCTACATCCTACATTCATTAGAATAAAAATTATTGATTTATAGATTATTCGATATGTTGATTATTTAATTCGGTTACCTATAGTTACAGGATTAAGTTAACTTAGGTTGTTTTTTTTTTTCTCCAGAATCAGAATATATTTTAGGCTACTTTGTTCTTTAAATACTTTATAGTTTTAACCTAACTAACCATAAACTTGATGTTAGTTTGTAATAATCAATACATCAATTGATACCTATATTCATTCGAATGAATGTAGGACGTAAACTAAAGTGCAGCGAATTTTTTTTTTCTTAAGTGTGGCCTCGTTCACACACAGACTTGACAATACTTTTCATTGTCAAAATGCGTCATGGATAATTCTTCAACTTTAACTCAAATATTTGCAACTACAGTCCAACCTCGGTATATCGAATCTGAAGGGACCGAACTGAATATTCGTTGTATCAAGGATTTCGTTAAAACGAGGTTTGTTATATTGAGGTTAGGTTTGCAGGAATTTCGCTAAGTTGAGGTTCAGAACCAGCATCAGTCAATATAGGTCGGGATTTGACCTCATTAAAACACAATTAAAGTATCCTAGGCTACAATACTTTAAAGTACAGTGTTTACATTGTAAAGTAGAACTTCGATTATCTTGGGTACTACTAAAGGGTAGTGATCTTTAATATTGCGCAATTATGACATTTCTAGTCATTGACCTTGGTACAGGTGTAAACTGTAAGTTTAAAATCACAGCTTACTCCAACCCACCTAAAACCTAGCCAAACACTGCATTGTAACTTATAGCAATAAAACACGGAAAGAACATCAAAGAAATCAGTAGGCTAGATAGTTTTGTAAGCTACTATGCTTGTGATAGGCCGGTAGGCTACGGTACTGCTTTAAATCACAACAGAGGAGTGTCAATACCGTAATAATCATCAACTATGCATTGGTGTTGCCTTAGTTTAAACAAATCGTATTGAAAATAATAAAAACTAGTAGCTTGTAGGGACAGAAGTCCCTAAAAAGCTCAAATGTAAAACAACTTATTGCAACTCCGGTATTTAAACAAACTCAGAATGACATTATCTTCGTGTCAGGATAGGTATCCCTACGTACACCATATATTTTGTGTAAAAAACAGTTTGTTGTCCGTCTTTGTTTGATTTATTTGTTGATGTTAATTTCAATAATTAATTTGAATCACTCCAGAGGTTTAACATGAAAACACAGCAAACATAACATATTATTGTTTGTTTATTATTACTGGTTTACTAAGGTAGCTTTGGTCTTGTGGTTAATGAGGATAAATAAAAGCTTCCCTGATTGGAATTTTAGAAATTGTATTTGTCAAAAAAATATGAAAAGGCAAATATAGGTGTTTTGAGATTCATAAGCTTTTTCTTGGTCAAAACCGCTAAATTATCCCAGTTATTATTTCTAAGTTTATACTTATACTCCTTTTGTTAAGGTTTAACAAAATTCGTGTAAAGTAGAGGCATCCCATTGACCAAACTTAACCCTAGAGATTTGTTTCTGATCAACATAAAAAAAACTACTGTAAGTTTATGTGGTGGTATTCCTTCTTAAGGTACGATTGACTTTACATATTCTATCAAAATAGGCCTAATCATCGGCTGATTCCTACTTATTTTGCGACTGGTTAGGGTTCCATTACCCAGTTAACGAAACCAATCACGAAATTTCTTTTCATCGGTATCTCCGACATCCATATTTTTGGTTAGGCCTAGTTTTAAAAACGGAAACTACTTCTAGGTTTTACTAATTAATATGGATGCTCCCTTTATTACCACCGCACATGCTAAGCTATATTATTTGAACCTTTTGTAATTAATTCAACTTGCAAATTGAAGACGAATGATTAAAGATATTTAATGCTTTAACAAACTAACATTCACTACACATCAGAACAATAAAACTCACTAGAAAATATTATTTTCTCCATGACAACCGGAATCAATAAAAAATCATCTAAAGATAAACAAGTAAAAATGTCCACAATATCAAACAGCTGATAACTAATTCATATCACAAGCACACGCCCCTGTGGTGTCAACACGAGCACGACGGACATCAGCATTATGGTGTGGCATACCATCAACCTCTACGCTGGTTTGTGAGAGCTGCCGTGAGACCACACCAGGCTTCCATCTCGTAGTACATAGAGAGTTTTTAAGCTTGACAAACACAGGTTCATTAGGTGAAAACTCAGTTCTTAGTTGCTCGTCACAATTTACAGGTTCGCCCTTACACCTCCGCCTGTAGCAGAACAATTTAGAGCTTGGTGCCGACTCTTCATACAAATCTTTTGGTGTTAGATTATACCAATATACCATTTCTTGAACACTTCTTCTGGTTCTTGTTGCCATTCTCTTTATCGTTCTATGGTTTCTTTCAACGACTCCATTGCCGGACGGACGGTTTACACACCTAAAACGACGGATAACCCCCCATTCCTCACATATTTGTTCAATTTGTTCACATCTGAATGTTGCACTATATTGCTTTAATGCTTTAACAAACTAACATTCACTACACATCAGAACAATAAAACTCACTAGAAAATATTATTTTCTCCATGACAACCAGAATCAATAAAAAATCATCTAAAGATAAAAAAATAAAAATGTCCACAATATCAAACAGCTGATAACTAATTTATTTCACAAGCACACCTTTTTTGCTTGGAGCATTAGGTAGTACCTGGTTAAAATATCCTCCAAACAATATTGTTTTTCCTCCCATTGGAACTTGTCATAGTACTTACCATAGACTAACCAACACAAGTAGACTTCTCATCCCAATGTAAATTTTGAAGCACGTTTTTCGTGTCTAGTTCATGTACGTGACACATGGGCGCTAGTGTTGACGAAACTTTGTTTCTATTATTTTAGGGTTAATTTCTTGATTTGTGCTTTACTGTTTGGTTATATAACTAGGGGACAAGTTATTGTTTATGATTAGATCGTATTATTTGGCTAAACGAGGTTTTAAATGGCTGTAATAACGGGAAACAAATTGTAAACAAAACACGACCTCTACAGAAAACCGTACAGAACTAACAATAAAATTGTCTTCAGCTGTTCCATAAGGATGAGAAATCTACTAAGGGAGTATGTTTTATCTATGTACTTACTAAATGAACAAAATATATTGCCTGTACGAACCTATTTCATCTTTATTCCCAGGATGTTTTCTAAGAGTGGCCGTTGAGGTTATTCCACTTCATACAACATTTTGATTAACAATAAATCTCCAATTAAAAATGCTAGTATAAATATACAAAAAAGTGTAGAATAAGTCTTTAACATACGTTTTAAAATCAAAGCAAATCAACATTTTTCCATTTAATCTTAAATCATTTATTATTTAGCCAATGTTGTTATTTCATGTTAAACATTCCTTCAACACAACAATAACCTTAAAATTAGAAGAAAATAACTATTTACAGCCATTATAAGCTCAATTCCTTCTCCTATGATTCTACTGCATAGTAATCATGCACATAACTAATTTACTTAAAAATACACAAATCAGGAAACGTTATCCCTGATTTTATATAGTAAATTGCAGAATTGACTGGCAAATGAGTAATCCAAATGTAATATTAGGCTTATTTGCTTAGTGATGAATCACGATCAGCTGTATTGAAATAAAAATGGCTTCTAATGCTATTCTTATGGAGAACATTTTACCTTATACCTAATTTTGTGTTAAAATTTGTGGGATATCACTATTTTTTCCGCCGTCACGGGGTCGAGACCTTTAATTTGAGCCCTCTCCCGCCGTTCTACGTCTTCCCAGTCGCCCACAATTTTGACGCAAAGAATCGGCCTACGAAATTAATATATAGATAAATAGATATTAGATAAGTCGTTATAAAAGTGTATAATCATAGCCAACTTAAAGATAATAAAAACACCCGTAAAAGGAATGTTAAGATATCGATGTTGCTATTCTTTATCTTTGCTTTGTTCTTCTATTCTTTTTCTTTCTTAGGTTTCTCTCAACGTTTCTCTTTATCCAAAAATTCTACAAGTCACCATAGTTACTTATCACCCAATCACATTTTACTAAACATTACGTCGTCTCAGTCCTCAGTGAATGAAATCAGTTCTCAGTTGTAACATAGCGTGCATGCAGCGATGACAGCAGACGGGGATGTGTAAACGGAGCAGACGAATGTTAGCGCAAGCGTTGACGTCACCTTTCCATTTCATTTAATGAAGAAACTGATTTCTAAAAAACAATAATTGGGGGTGGGGGGTTCGTTGTATCGAGGGAGAGGCGCAGACAATTCGTTAAGTAGAGGTTAAATTCGCTATGTAGAGGTTCTGACAATGATAAATTCGCTATATTGAGGTGTCTTATTTTAGCCGGGATCATGAAAAATTTGTTAAATCAAGGTCGTTGATATGGGTTGTTCGTTATGTAGAGGTAAAACATACATTGTGTCTTATGGAGAGTTCTAGGGGATTCAAAAAAATTTGTTATATCAAGGAATTTGTTAAATAGAGGTTTGTTATATCAAGGTTAGACTGTATCCATTCTGTATCTAGTAGGTACCTAACTGATAAATTATAGGCTATAGTTGAAGATGTATAGCCTACATATTTTTCCTGTTTCCTTTAGGTACAGATGTCACGCATTGAAGACTATTTCTTTAAAATACAAGGAGTATGAATATAATTTAGTTAGAACGTGTGAGTTCCTCGATGCAGCAAAGCCTACTAGGGTGTCCAAACGAACTCTACAAGAAATAAAAATGCCAGAGGAAACTAATCTACCTTTTTTGCAAGAGGTATGGTATGATGATAATTTAACCTAAGTATATTCATTGAGTATACACGTACTAGAGTAGCCACTCAATGGAGGTTATCGTTACCTGAACAGCGCTGTTCCAGAGTAGCGTCAGCGGCCCGAACTATCCCACCTCGCATTTTATAATGGATTTTTAATACTAAATAGTTAAAAGGTCCTCAGAGGCACACTGAACTACCGACAGACTACCGCGACCCAAGCGTCAGCGGCCCGAACTACCGTACATAGCCAAAATCGATAACAGCTAATAGCATTATGTGACAACTCTTATACGTGTATACACAATGGTATAGTCTAAAATTTCCTTTTAACTTACAAGAACAAATTATCACATGATTAGATCCGTGAAGTTAGCGTATCCACTTTTATTCTTACCAATCGTTAGTTCTCAACAGTTCCCCAATCTTTTTGTTGGTTGTTCTTAAAAAAAATGAAAGAGTTATAGCCTATAAGAAATGGATACTCTAGAACTTCACACTTCCGGTTTCTAGTGGGCACCGTATTCTGGTGAAAAAATGCTTACATCTATAATATATATCAATTGTTAGTACTTAGTTAGTTCTCAATAGCTCTCCTATATTGTTTTTAGTTCTCCAAAAATAAAAAAAAGTCGAGGCATAAAAGTGGTAACGCCAATTTCACAAAGAATTTCAAGCATGCACCGTTTTCTGGTGAAAAATGCAGATATATATATTTATTTATTATTTTTATTTTTAGCGAATTTCCCATTTAGGGAATAAGCTATTACCGTAGTACTCATGGTAAGACCTGGACCCGGGACCGATTAAATTTTTTTTTTTGAGGTCCCTAGAGGCCAAAAACACCATCCGTTCAAATTCATCTTACTAATATTATAAATCTGAAAGTTTGGGTACTCTAGAACTTCACACTTCCGGTTTCTAGTGGGCACCGTATTCTGGTGAAAAAATGCTTACATCTATAATATATATCAATTGTTAGTACTTAGTTAGTTCTCAATAGCTCTCCTATATTGTTTTTAGTTCTCCAAAAATAAAAAAAGTCGAGGCATAAAAGTGGTAACGCCAATTTCACAAAGAATTTCAAGCATGCACCGTTTTCTGGTGAAAAATGCAGATATATATATTTATTTATTATTTTTATTTTTAGCGAATTTCCCATTTAGGGAATAAGCTATTACCGTAGTACTCATGGTAAGACCTGGACCCGGGACCGATTTAATTTTTTTTTTTTGAGGTCCCTAGAGGCCAAAAACACCATCCGTTCAAATTCATCTTATCTTACTAATATTATAAATCTGAAAGTTTGTGAGTTTGTGTGTGTGTTTGTGTGTGTGTGTGTTGCTCAATCACGCATAAACTACTGGACGGGTTGGGCTGAAATTTGGCATGATGATAGCTCACATTCCCGATTAACATTAAAGCATATTCTTATCTCAAAAATCCTTTCGGGCTCCGCCCCAGTGGCTCTGTAGTTCCCCATGTTCACCTTATGATTTTTCATATTTTAAAGGAATTAATTAATCTTAACAGCTGTTTCAATTAAACAAGTCGGTTCTGTTCTATGATGTTCAATAGCATAAAAGTTACAAGGATTACCAACAGGGTGCAGCACTATTATTTTTTTTTTTATTTATGACAACAGCTAATTTCCACCCAAAAGGTGAGTGAGCGTAGCGAACGAACTTCAACCTGGAGGTGAGTTAGCGTAGCGAACGAGCTAACCTGAAGGCAAGTGAGCGCAGCGAACGAGCTCCAACCTAAAGGTGAGTGAGCGTAGCGAACGAACTTCAACCAGGACGTGAATGAGCCATGCGAATACTTATGAAGTTAAACGGGGCAAAGCCCGCGGGTACAGCTAGTATTTATATATGTGTGTTTGTTAGCGCGATAACTCGAGCAAAAATGATCCGATTTTGATGAAATTTGGCACATACGTGTAAACCTCCGTTTATTCGAACGAGTTCGCGATCCAGCATAATCGGACCATGGGAACGGGGGTTTATGGGGGGTTTTATGGAGTGAAAATGGGGTTTTCCCCATGATTGTTTTTTGTAGAGCTTAAATAAAGAAATAGAGCTCGTCAGTGGTCGAAAGCTATCCTGCTACCTCTGAGAACTATTCAAAAGCTTTGCAAAGTCTTAAAAATCGTTTTGGTAGAGATGACTTTCTCATAGAAGTGTATATTAGAGAACTTTTGAAGTTAGTGCTGAGTAATTTAAACAGTAAGGTAGAAGTTTCTTGTATTTATGATAAACTGGAAACCCAGCTAAGAGCATTGGAGACATTAGGTAGACATCTGACAAATGTTCTACTATGTTATATCCTCTTACAGAGTCTTGTTTGCCCGAGGAATTGTCGAGAAGTTCCTATGTAGATAATGCAGATTTGAATTAATTTGTAGATCAAGCGACTTCTGTAATGAAAGATAATTTAGTATATTTAAGCACTCTTGTATGCCTAACAGCCACGGAGAAAATTCAAAAATAGTGTAATTTTAAATTCCCATGTTATTCTTATGGAGAAAATAAAAATTGTTGTAGTTTACTTGTTTATGGATATATATTGATAAAATTTGGCAAATTTATTTATTTCATCATATACTATTGACGTTTGGTCAAAAAAACACTTTTGACCTTCCCCGTAGCAGCAAACCTAAGCACTCGTTAACCCTTTGAGTGCCAACATCCGGGGAACCGGACGTTTTTAAAACGAGCCAAAAGTGCCGACGTCCGGCCGACCGGACGTTTTTAGAAAGAGCCAAAAGTGCCAACATCCGGCTGACCGGACGTTTCGTAATGATCGAACAGTTGTCATAACAACCGAATGGATACTCGGATTCTTTTAACCCATATATTAACATTGAGTCAAAAGTTACTAGATGCGATACATCGATTTTCGTTGGTCGAAATATCGAAAATTCGATTTTTACGAAATTTTAACCTAAAAATCGCCAGATCGCGCTCGGCATTTTTAGCGCGACCTTCGGGAAAAATCATCGGCATTTTTTGAGCGTTACTTTTATTTCTCGCCTGGCACTCTAAGGGTTAAATCTAATCCTATACTCTAATACGAGCAATGTTTGCTTGTATGCTTGCTTGCTTGCTTGCTTGAACAAAGATCTCGAAAACGGCTCCGACGATTTTCTTCAAATGTTGTAAATAGTTCATTTCTGGCCTAAAAACGAGTTTCATGCAGTTAGAACTGTCAACAAAAATCTAATTACGTAGAAAAATGAAACTGAAAATCACATTTTTTTAAACATTAGTCTTTTGGGTTGTTAGGTAACCATGTTGGCTGAATTAAATAACAAGGAAAAAGTAAACAAAAGACTTGAAGTTGTAGCATGTGTTCATAATGAGCCAACTACCCACAGTATACTAGCAAATTACAAATACAGTACAAAAGGAAATACCCCCGCCGCAGCAAACCTGCAGACTAAGCGAATTTCCATTTGACTGATTGGATCTACACTGAAATGTCTACTTAAAAATACAACATTTATTCTTGATTTAAAAAGAATTAGTTTTTACAAGTACTTAGGTTTGCTGCATCAGGGAGCGTAAAACTGTTTTTTTTTTTTTTTTTTTGTAAAATGTGAATAGTTAGTAAAAAATAAAAACATTTTCCAAATTTGATCAAAATATGTTCACAAACAAGCAAACTACAACAGTTTACTTATTCTCCATAAGAATAACATGGGAATTTTAAATTTAAAATTTTTTGGAATTTTCTCCGTAACCATTAGGCGCATAATAACGCTTCAATATACTAAATTATTTGTTTTTTTAAGCTCTACAAAATGGTTTGGAAAGAAATTGCTAAATTTTATGTTTTTGGGTCAAAAATGGGAAAAACCTATTTTTACCCCATAAAACCCCCCGTAAACCCCCGTTCCCATGGTCCGATCATGCTGGATCGCGAACTCGTTCGAATAAACGTACGTTTACACGTTTGTACCAAATTTCATCAAAATCGGATCATTTTTGCTCGAGTTATCGTGCTGACGGACACATATATATATATAAATATATAAATACTAGCTGTAACCCGCGGGCTTTGCCCCGTTTAACTTCTTAATTTTCAAGATTATCTCGTTCGCATGGCTCAATCACGTCCTGGTTGAAGTTTGTTCGCTACGCTCACTCACCTTTAGGTTGAAGCTCGTTAGCTACGCTCACTCACCTTTAGGTTGGATCTCGTTCGCTGCGCTCACTTGCCTTCAGGTTAGCTCGTTCGCTACGCTAACTCGCCTCCAGGTTGAAGTTCGTTCGCTACGCTCACTCACCTTTTGGTTGGAAATTAGCTGTTGTCATAAATTAAGAAAAAAATAATAGTGCTGCACCCTGTTGGTAATCCTTGTAACTTTAATGCTATTGAACATCATAGAACAGAACCAACTTGTTTAATTGAAACAGCTGTTAAGATTCAATAATTCCATTTCTCATAAGGTTAACATGGGAAACTCCAGAGCCACTGGGGCGGAGCCCGAAAGGATTTTTGAAATAAGAATATGCCTATATGTTAATCGGGAATGTGAGCTATCATCATGCCAAATTTCAGCCCAATCCGACCAGTATTTTTCGCGTTCACTTGTCACAAACATACATCCATACACCCATACATCCATCCATACATCCATACATCCAAACTTTCTCATTTATAATATTAGTAGGAAGTAGGATAGTAGGATATAAATATATATATATATATATATATATAGATATGAATTTGAACGGATGGTGTTTTTGGCCTCTAGGGACCTCAAAACGAAAAAAAAAATCGGTCCCGCGTCCAGGTCTTACCATGAGTACTACGGTATTAGCTTATTCCCTATATGGGAAATTCGCTAAAACATCACTTGTTAATATTGAGCAAAGATTATACTTAAGATTACTCGATACATTGTAGTCAAGGGTAGCAGTGCGAAGTCTAGGATCTGTATATGACGATTAGATTAAGGTATCTGCAATCCTAAAATGCTATGGGAAGGGAAGGAAAC